GTAGACAGTTTCCGTGGTCACGTGGCCAGCGCAACTAGACACGGAACGCTGTTACTTCCCACCATGGTGGTATCTATTTATCTACTCACATTTTTACATGCTTTCGAACTGCTACATTGGCAGGAGCTGGGACAAGTGACGGGAGCTCCCTCCATTGCGTGGATTCGATCTTATGACTGCGGGTCTTCTGACCTTGCAGCACACAGAGGCTTCTGCAGTTTAACCCGCAGCGCCACCATGCCCATAGGTTGCAGAAAAACATAGGTTCAAACATAGGGGGGAAAATGACATGTCATAGAAATCCTTCCTCTAGTAATGAAGCTTTGTTTAATGTGTCCCATTGCTGTGACTTAATTGAATGTCATTTCAAAAAGGTGCAGGAGGAGGAGATTGGCTGTCCCATTGAGAACATCCGGATCAATCTAGTTGGGGCAAAAAATCCAAAAGGAACTTGGTAGTTGAAGTCCACTACCGCCCGCCCAGTCAAAGAGAGGAAGCGGAGGCAACTTTTGAAAAACAAATTCCAGGGTTTTCAAAGAGACACGAGGTAGTGGTGATGGGAGATTTCAATTATCCAGATACATTTGGGGAAGCAAATTCTGCCAAGTATGGCCCTTCCAAGAAATTCCTGGCTTGTGTGGCTGATCATTTTCTCTTACAAAAAGTGGAGAAAGAAACTAGAGGATTTGCTGTCCTTGACTTAATTCTGGCCGACAGAGATGACTTGGTGGGGAAAGTGGCCGTAAGGGGAATGCTAGGCAAGAGTGACCGGGTCCTTCTAGAATTCTTGATTTCAAAGGAAATGAAAGCAGAATGTAGCCGCTCAGTTGCCTCCTCCAGCGCCACTGCCGTGGCTCTCCTCCAGCTCACGTGGCCGCTGTGTCCCCTGCCCGGAGGGAGCCCGTGAGTGCTGCTGGATCTGGCGACGCCGGCATCAGCAGCCAATGGGAAGCCGCGAGAGGCGGAGGCAGCCGCGCTTGGCCACCCTTCATGCTGGCCCCTTGACTGCCGCCTCCAGATCGCCCCGTCCTGCTGCTTGCAGACTCCCTTTGGGCAGAGGACACGGCGGCGATGTCAGGACACTGCTGGAGGAGAGCCCTGGCAGGAGAAGGAGACGATTGGACGGCGGCGGCAGCCATCAATGGGCCGCCGCGAGGGGCAGCGGAGCACGGCGGCTTCTGCCTCCACCTCTCACGGTGGCCCATTGACGCCTCATCTGCCTCCGGCAAGGGTCAAAATTAGGGGTCATCTTATATTTTTTCGTAAACACTGAGAAACACATCACTGCTTAGTGCTGAAGCAGTATTTGGGGCAGTTTACAAGCAGTGAAAACAAACGACATGACGCAGTTAATGCTAAATGACAAGACAAATAGCAAAAGCATAGTTAAAAGAAACAAAACAGTAGCGCTAAACCAGTTTTCAGACTGAAGCAGAAGTGGAGGTGAGGCATTAATCCGGGGTTGGCATGAAAGGCCTCTCTGTATGGTAATGTTTTCAATGACTTCCTAAATGAGTACAGGGAGGGGCCCAGGTGTAGCTTCTCAGGGAGTTGATTCCGTAACGTTGGTGCCACCGCCGAGAAGGCCCTGCCTCTTGTAGGTGACCTTCAGGCCTCTCTCAGGGTGGCTACATGGAGGAGCCTGACCCGAGAAGATCTGGTGGGTTGGGCAGATGACTTTGGGGAAAGACACTCCGAGAGGTAACAGGCTCCTAAACCATGAAGAGCTTTCTGTGTGAGTGTCAAAACCTTGAACCTGATCTGGGTCCCCAGTGGAGGCTGGCCATCACTGGGGTGATGTGATCAAATTAGCTCACACCATCCACCTCTCTGGCCATTGCGTTCTGGAACTGCTGGAATCTCTAGGCCAGTCTCAAGGGAAGCCCCAGGTACAGAGCATTGCAGTAGTCAGTCTGGGAGAGGATTAGTGCCTGCACCAACATCTTGAGGGAGCTCTCATCTATGTAGGGGCAGAAAAGCCTCTTAAAATGTAATAAAAAGAAATTTTACAAGTTTGTGTTCGTCTTTGTTTTTAGTAAGCTGTTTAGTCCTGAGAACGGAATGTATTTTCTGTGTTTAGAGAAAATAAATCCACTGAACAACTGGTTGATGGGGCTTTGCTTAATATACCTACTACCTAAGATTTTCACCCTCTCTGTCCTTCCCCTCTGATCTTTCAGTTCCCGATCTTAAGCATGTTTCCGAAATGGAGCCGAGGGTAGATCCGTGGATTTTGAATGGAAACAAACGCTCGGATATCGGATCAGTAACCTCTTTGGGTAAGCCAGCTTGACAAATCGCGGCCTGCAGATCTTAGTGGGAGTTGGCTAGAAAAACTCTTATCCCTGTTTCATCATCTTAATGTCTGGAACAGAGATTAGGAATCCTGTGTTTGGATCCGTTGGTTTCCCTTGCAATGAGAGCTGTGAGGTGTTATAGTTCAGAAGCTGCGTTCCGGGTGCAAACATCCAGCCTGTGAGAGAGATTCATGATGCCCATGACTGCTATCCCTTCTTTCTTATCAACGTGGGGCCAAAGGATGATGCCGGGAACAGCTAACAGCATACTGCAAGTGACTGTGAGGGTCTGGGATAGGTAGAATACTGAATGTCAACACTTGGTTTTGTTGATGGTCTCAGTGGGAAAGGTTTGGTGGCTTGACCGACAGGCTGTGGTTTCTAGGAAGAAGGTGGCCCTGGAAGTGATGGGTTGCCTCTTAAGAGACGTTGGAAAGGACAGATTTGTCAGATGTGCTGCCAACCAGGTCAGGGGAGTTTTGAACGGAACTCTGCCAGGGAGGGTGACCGTTTTCTGGAGATCAAGATACAAGTGTTGGGGACCAGATTACTAGTGATTTATTAGAAATTAGGATGGTGGCACAGGAATGTGCCAAAGGAGGAGAAAGAGCCTCAAGGAAACAGCTTGGGGGAACGACCCATGGCTTCAGATGTCTCTGTAGCAATGCACAGAGCAAGGGAAGTCAACAAGATGCGCTTGAACTCTTAACACAGGAAGACAAATATGGTTTCAGGAAAAAGAAGTAGACCAAACATGGAGGGGGAGGGAGAAGGGGGAGAACTGGAGGAAAAGGATGTCTGTAGCTGGGAAGAAATCTGCAGGAACAAATGGGTGGTGCCAGGCAGAGCCATCAACATCTTGCAGGGGACTGGGGGCCTAGATGAGAAGGTAAAGAACAATGGGATATTTTTTTTCATTCCTGCCTTCTGTCTGGAATAATAGCCTTCAGATATACTGAACTCAGTGGCTGGAAGATGTCTTTGGGACGTTTGAGAATAGTTGTTTAGTCGTTTCGTTGTGTCTGACTCTTTGTGACCCCATTGAGAATAGTACTACTCTGGAATTCAGGAAATCTGGTTTCAAAGTATTAACCGATTTCTTGGGCAGCGTGTGGCCGAGCAAACTTTGTGAATATATGTGCAAGGATATGAAAAAAAATTCTATCCTTAGCAAATATGGCTTAGTATGTTCCATTTGTATGACTTTTAATTGATCATTGTTTCCAAAATGTACAGAAACATGTATAAATCATTGCGCACATCATTGGATTGCTCCCTAGTTTCTCACCGTATTCTGCCTTCACTGCCTTAACTTCCAGTTCCCAAGCTTGAGGCCATTTCTGAAACGGCGCCGAGGGAAGATTCACAGGGTTTGGATGAAAGGGAAATCACAGAATCCAGATCAGGAACGTCCTTGGGTAAGCCTGCTTGACAAAACGCCACCCAAAAATACTTCTGCTGGTCGTTTCCAAAAACTCTTGTAGTTAGCTCGTGGAGCCTCGTGGTGCAGTGGTTAAACTGCAATACTGCAGTCAAAACTCCACTCACAATTTGGGTTCAATCCCAGGTAGATGGCTGGAGCTTCACTCAGCCTTCCATCCTTCCGAAATGGATAAATTGAGTACCCAGCTCGCTGGGGGGGGGCAATGTGTACCCTGCATAATTAACTTGTAAGCCACCCAGAGAGTGTTTTAAGCACTATGGGGCAGTCTATAAGCAGCACTCTTTGCTTTGCCTTAATGTTGGGTAAAGATTGGAAATCATGCACTAAAATGACACTGTGACCTTTTTTTCTTTTCCTTTTCATGTTTTGTAATGAGATTACAGTGTTATTACATATGTGAAGAGAAGGGAAGAGATGAAAGAAAGGAGTGGCCGAATGTAATTGCACCGGTCGTTAGAAACCCCCACATTAGGGTGGCCTTCCCCAGCCTGGCACTTTCCGAATGCATAATAAATAGCTCATGGGTTTAGATTGGGAGTTTGATTCCCCCGTTGGGCCTCCCAGACAGGAGCTGATCTCGATGATCTATAGGATCCCTTCCAACTCTGCAGTTCTGAGATTCCATGTCATTTTTCCCCATTCTGTCTTGGAATCTCTGCCATCGAAGTGAATAGTCAGCATAACACCAACTAGTATAACTGGTTAGACTCACTAGGTTTGTGCTTCCTGTGAGTAGAGCCAGCCTGGGCAAGCTGCACAGTCCCAAGACACCCTCAGAAGAAGGGAAGGGGAAACTGCTTCTGAGTACTCTGTACCTGGAAGACATTGAAAAAGGATTGCCATATGTCAACATTAATTCGAGGGCACAGTATTGATCAGTGTTAATAGGAACTCCAAAACACCATGAAGAATTAAAAAAAAAACCTTCTCATGGGCCTGAGAAGACAAAAATAGAAGCTAGAAAAGGTGCAGAAGAGAGCAACTAAAATGGTGACTGGGCTGGGGCACCTCCCTGATGAGCAAAGGCTACAGCGTTTGGGGCCCTTGAGTATAGAGAAAAAGCACACAAGTAGGGGGGGGACATGATTGAGACATCTAAAATGAGGCAGGGGGTGGATTAAGTGAATAGAGAGAAGCTCTTTCCCCCCTCTCACGCAATACCAGAACCAGGAGACATCCACGCCAATGGAGTGTTGGGAGAGTAAAAAGAGACCATAGAAAAGATTTCTTGACCCAGACTAAATACAGTGGTGTGTCGCTTAACGGGCGCCCCGTTTAACGATGAAACCGCATAGCGATGAAGTTCTTGCGGTCGCATTGCGATGTTTCCTATGCGTTTTTTTTCGCTTTGCGATGATCGGTACCCTGTTTTGCTTACCGATCATTGCAAAGTGATGATTTTTTTACAGCTGATTGGCGGTTCCAAAATGGCCGCCAGGTTTAAAAAATGGCCACGCACTGTGTTTTCGCGCAGATTCCTCGCTTACCGGGCAGCGAAAATGGCCACCTTATGGAGGATTTTCGCTTTAAGGTGAGTTTTAAGCCCATAGGAACGTATTGAAGGGGTTTCAGTGCATTCCTATGGGCTTTTTTAAATTGGATAGCGACGAAATCGCTTTGCAGTGATTTTTGCTGCATGGATTATTGTCGCTATGTGAGGCTCCACTGTATTTCTTTAGTCTGTGGAACCCCTTGCCACAGGATGCAGTGTTGGCATTCTGGCCTAGATGCCTTGAAAGGGAGGTTGGACAGATTCCTAGAGGAAAAGTCCATCACGGAATACAAGCCGTGATGATGTCCCTCCAAAGACTTTCTCTTTGAAGTAAAGTCCCTCTAAAGGCCAGATGCAGGTGAGGCGAATCAGGAGACAGAAATCTAAGTAGTTCTCTCGTGTGCTCCCAGAGGCATCTGGTCGGGGGCCCAGTGAGATCCAGGGAGATGGGCTTACATGGACACAGATGGGCCCTTGGCCTGATCCAGCAGGGCTCTTCTTGGGTTCTTATGTTCAAGGACCCCTGAAGAGAAAAAAAACTTACGCGGTGTGTCTTTTTTGTCTTTTAGTAGATAATTTAGTCTGCTCCGTTCAATTTCTTTTTCTCCATTTGTCCTTTCTCGTAACAGATCTGTCAAAAGAAAGAAGTATCTGCTCAAAGTGTGGAAAGTCTTTTACGCACAAACCAGGACACCGGAGAACTCAAATGGAAGGGAAACAGGACGCCAGAGGAATGTCGATCTGTCCGATATGTTCCGCCTCTGGGAGAATGCTTGGCGATCGAATTAAAAGCGGAAAGAAACAGTTTAGGTGGGAAGGGTCAGGGAAACCTCTTCACTGCAAGTCACCCTTTGTGAGCTCTCCAAGAGACCACCTGGGAGAGAACGGGAACAAATGCCTAAAATGTGGGAAATGTTTCGCGTTTAAGTTGCATCTCGTAAAGCATCAAAGAGTTCACATGTTAAAGAAACCCTATAAATGCCAAGTATGTGGGAAATGTTTTTCTCAGAATTCTCGCCTTCTCATTCATCAGAGACTCCACACAGGAGAGAAACCCTACAAGTGCCAGGAGTGTGGGAAATGTTTTTCCCAGAATTCAAGCCTAGCGAGTCACCAAACAGTCCACATCGCAGAGAAAATATACAAATGCCAAGACTGTGAGAAATGTTTTGCTTATGGCTCGCAACTTGTGGATCATCAGAAAGTTCACAGGGGAGAGAACGCAGACAGAGGCCAGGAGTATGAGAAATATTTTATTCCCAGCTCACACCTTACCATTCGGCAGAGATTCCACACAGTAGAGAAACCCTACAAATGCCAGGATTGTGGCAAATGTTTTGCTTGGAGTTCAGCCCTTTTGAAGCATGAGAGAATTCACACTGGAGAGAGACCCTACAAATGTCAGGAGTGTGGGAAATCTTTTGCTCACAGTTCACACCTTGTGACGCATCACAGAGTCCACACAGGGGAAAAACCATACAGTTGCGCAGTGTGTGGAAAATGTTTTCTTCGCAGGTCAGATGTTGTGACTCATCATAGAGTCCACACAGGAGAGAAGCCCTACAAGTGCCAGCAGTGTGGGAAATGTTTTGCTCGCAGTTCTCTCCTTGTGACTCATAACAGATTCCACACGGGAGAGAAACCCTACAAATGCCAGGAGTGTGGGAAATGTTTTGCTTGCAGTTCTGCCCTTTTGAGTCATGAGAGAGTGCACACCGGAGAGAGACCCTACAAATGCCAGGAATGTGGTAAGTGCTTTGCTCACAATTCAAATTTTCTCATCCACCAGAGAGTCCACACAGGAGAGAAACCGTACAAATGTCAAGAGTGTGGGAAGTGTTTCGCTCGAAGTTCACACCTTGTGACTCATCAGAGATCCCACACAGGAGAGAAACCATACAAATGCCAGGAGTGTGGCAAATGTTTTGCTCACAACTCACACCTGATGACCCATCAGCGAGTCCACACAGGAGAGAAACCGTACAAATGCCAGGAATGTGGAAAATGCTTTGCTCGCAGTTCAAACTTTCTGATCCACCAGAGAGTCCACACAGGAGAGAAACCTTACAAATGCCAGGAATGTGGGAGATGTTTTGCTCATAAGTCGCACCTTGTGACTCATCAGAAGGTTCATGCCAGAGGAAATCCATACATATTCCAAGAGCGCAGGAAATATTTACCTCAGAATTCATCTCTCCTGATCCACCAGAAGGTCTACCCAGGAGAGAAACCATACCAATACTAGAAGTATAAGGAATGCTTTCTTCGCAGTTCAGAGAAAGCAAAGAAATGTCCGGAGAGTTGAAACTGTTTTCCTTTTAAGCAGAATAAGGGACTGATGAGAAGAATATTTTCAAACACCAGGAAAATGTTTACTTGGGTCTCAAGTCATGGGAGAAATCAGAAGCGCAATCCAGAAAAGGAGTTGGAGAAACGTGGGACATGGTTTTCATTGAGAATCATTTTTGTATCCCTCCGGAAAAAGGGACACAGAAAAGAAATCAAACTTGGATTGCTGAACATTTTTGCCAAACCGGCCATAATCACGGGTTAGAAGCCTGGTCACAAAGCACTTTCTAAATGCATGACCTGTGGAGAAATTTTTCCTTTCCTCTCAGTAGTTGGGAGTTTTCCATGGTTAGAAGGTTCTCTGCCAACGATTCAAACATTGGAAACGTTTTGTTCACTTCCCTGTTCCTCAGAGACACCAGAGAAGGTGCAGAAGAGACTTATCCTGCCCTTGGTTCACGTGGGACCGTTTTTTGGACGCAGCTCTTTTTCATAATGTACCCACTTAGCAGAGGAAGCCCTACAGGACTCAATCCTAGCTTGTCTCAGAAGGAAGCTTTAGTATCGTCACTCCCAACCTTGAGCCCCCCAGATGCTCTTGGACTGCAACTCCCAGAAATCCTGGCCAGCACAGTGGGTGGCAAAGGATTCTGGGAGTTGCAGTCCAAGAACACCCGGGTGACCCCCCCCGAGGTTGGGAACTCACTGCCTAGTGGTTTGTCGCCTGAAGGGTAAAGGAAGGGGCCATTGCCATTTTTGTGACAATATATCGTGTCACTCTGGACACATGGTGTCCAGGGAAATAATAGATTATGTTTGTACGAAGCAGATCTTTTGTAGATCAGTACAGTGGTGCCTCGCTTTACGATTGCCCCGCATTACAATGAATCTGCTTTACGACGATCTTTTTGCGATCGCAATTGCAATTGCAAAACAATGGTCTAAATGGGGGAATTTCGCTTTGCGATGATTGGTTCCCTGCTTTGGGAACTGATTCTTCGCAAAACAATTTTTAAACAGCTGATCAGCGGTTTCAAAATGGCCACCGGGTAACTAAAATGGCTCCCCGCTGTGTTTAGGGAATGATTCCTCGCTATACAGGCAGTGAAAATGGCCGCCATATGGAGGATCTTCGCTGGACGGTGAGTTTTTACCCCATTGGAACGCACTGAACGAGTTTCAGTGTGTTTCAATGGGGGGGTTTTTATTTTCAGTTTACGATGTTTTCACTTAACAGCGATTTTCCTGGAACGGATTATTGCTGTTAAGCGAGGCACCACTGTAAAAGGTTTATTGGAGGCAGAAAAGTCATTCGTGGTCTCTGTACCTCCTACACTTTGGTTGTTTCAAGCCATGAACTGCGGGCATTTTCCCCCAGCCTCCTGTTCTTCCGTTGCAACCGGCACTGATAAGAAGCTCAGTATGGGCTTCAGCCTGATAACATCGGCTACTGCACCATCTGTTTTGGGGAGCTCAGAGAAAACCTGGCTGTCTGGAACAGGAAACGAAAAATGGGGAAAGTGAGTGTGTTGTTGGCCATCAACGCTCACCACCTGATAGTCCTACAAAGCGCCTGTTGCATTACCATTTATCATTGTCGTTATCCTCTTAGAACTGCAGAGCTGGAAGGGACCCTCTGGATCATGGAGTCCAGCGCCTGTCAAGAAGGCCCAGTGGGGGAAATCGAACTCCTGACCTCTGGCTCTCCAGCCAGATCTCTAAACCACTGAGCTCTCCAGCCATACTTCACTTCCACCTGCCTTGCCAACAGGTTTAGCCACACACACCCTGGTGTTGGAGAATAAGCAGAAACAGCCGGACAGATAATGTTGACTTCTGGATTCAACCCTTGGAAACTCTGAAGGACAACCTGAGCAGATGTCCCCTTTATAAGGAGGTTTTACGTGGATTCAACCCTTGGAAACTCTGAAGGACTACCTGAGCAGATGTCCCCCTTTATAAGGAGGTTTTACATCGGAGAAAACAAACAGCCACTAAACAGGGGAACGGCCCAGCACAGGAAAGGCAATGGCTCAGGACCACAGTCAGCAGCGCTTTTTCATGTAACAGGAGAAGGGCCCAGCACAGGAAAGGCAATGGCTCAGGACCACAGTCGGCAGCGATTTTTCATGGGAAGGTCAAAGGACACTCATTTGATGACCATTTTGGATGGAGAACCTGGGTGGTTTGAGAGGAGAGTCGGGGAAGCCATACATGTACATCTAGAAAATCCCGCACTCAACAGGGTGGAGGCCTTAAATACAATCTGTCTCCTGTTTATCATGCTGCCCTATCATTGTTGGCAGAGAGATCAGGACCGCACCTGCCAGAAAGACCACTGTTAACGGCCATCAAGTCCTGTTTATCATGCTGCCCTTTCATCCGTTGGCAGAGAGATCAGGACTGCACCCGCCAGAAAGACCACTGTTAACGACCATCAAGAAATCATGACAATGGGTGGAGAAGGACTGCAGAGGTGGGATTATCCCTCACACCCCCCATGACAATGGGTGGAGAAGGACTGCAGAGGTGGGATTATCCCTCACCCCAAAACCCATCCTTTGTCCTTCTAAGCAGCCTATTCAGATCAGGGGGAAGTGGAACCTATGTGGAGGATCTATCAGGGGTCTCCTACCAACTCTCCTCCAATTGAAGAAGCTGCTTGGAGGAGTATCGAAAGGTTTCAACCTAATAAATGAAGTCCAGTTGCCATGATTTTCAACTTTCAGACAATCTCACATGGATGACTGGGAATCGTCACAGAGACAAGAGAGGGTTGAGGTGGAAGAAGGGTGACCAGACAACCTCACCTGGATGACTGGGAATCGTCACAGAGACGAGAGAGGGTTGAGGTGGAAGAAGGGTGATACCAGCAAACCTAAGAGGAGCGATCTAAGGTTGAAGGAAGGTCAGCAGAGCGAAAGAACAATCTAGGAGATCTGAGCTGGTCCATTCACTTCTCCCTCCTCTCGTCCTCACGCAAAGACATGTACCTCCTTGAATGTAAGCCGAGTTGCGCCCCTCACCTCCGACTCCCCTTGGCTCTGAGTATCGACTTGTCTCACAACTTCAGAAACGCAAACGTGGGTGGTAAACTTTGTTGGACCACTATAAGATCATACAAATTGCAAGCTTTCGTGGTGAGAAACCCACTTCTTCAGGCTCAGCACAAGTCCTTCATGGATAGTGGGGGGGAGGGGGATTAAAGACAAGAGTCCAAAAATTGATCACAGAATAGTTGAGTTGGAAGGGGACTGCATCTAAGGCCATCCAGTTTGACTCCCTGCTCAACGCAGTTCATATCAAAGCAAATCTGAGACCTGGTGGTCCAATTTTCTCTTGAAGGCCTCCAGCCTTGATGTCATAAGTCTGAGAGGTGAGTCCAGTCCTAAGAATGGTGTTCTTGAGCATCCTTGGAGCAGGATTTGGAATCTTAGACCCCTCTCTTAAAAACAACAGGTTGCCAATTACTGTTTGATTGGCGCCTCTCTCTCTCTCACACACACACACACACACGCACACCTGAGATTTCCTCAGGATCCTCTCCAGTTTAGGACTAAACTTATTGAATTGGGACAAAGAAAGGAAGGAAGGGAAAATAAAAAGTTTAATGGTGCTCAAGAGTACAAGTGGGAGACCAATATGGATTGAAAACGGGAGTACCCTCTATTGTCCGAACTGTGGAAAATAGCTGAAGCCCACTTTTATTTATGGCTTCAGGTTGGGGCTTATTCAGCAGAAAACTTTTTCATATATTGGAAAACCACAACGACTTTTTAAAAAGTGGTGATGTAGTATACCTGGTGATGGCTGGACAGTGTCATCGAAGCAACCAACATGAAATTGACACAACTCCGGGAGGCAGTGGAAGAGAGGAGGGCCTGGCGTGCTCTGGTCCATGGGGTCACGAAGAGTCGGACACGACTAAACGAAACGAATATACCTGGTGAATCTCTCTGGTTATGTTATATTCATACGCTATTTCAGGGGGGACTTTATTAATGTATTGGAGCAGTCTTTTCATCGAAGCAACCAACATGAAATTGACACAACTCCGGGAGGCAGTGGAAGAGAGGAGGGCCTGGCGTGCTCTGGTCCATGGGGTCACGAAGAGTCGGACACGACTAAACGAAACGAATATACCTGGTGAATCTCTCTGGTTATGTTATATTCATACGCTATTTCAGGGGGGACTTTATTAATGTATTGGAGCAGTCTTTGAATTTTGTAATAATAATAATAATAATAAAATTGTGCTCCTTATATATTGCCCCATAGTGCTTAAAGTATTCTCTGGGCAGTTAATTGTAGTCTACGCATTAAATCGTAGTACCGCATCAATCTGGGTACTAAACGTACCAACCTCAAAAGGGTGGAAGACTGAATGAACCTTGAGCTGGCTAACTGGGATTGAACCCTGGATCATGAGCAGAGTTTTGGCTGCAGGACTGCAGTGTAACCACTGTGCCAGGATAGTAGGTGTGTGCCATCAAGTCAATTATGAATTATGGTGATGATTTCCAGGGTTTTCTAGACAGTACTCAGAATTGGTTGGCCATTCCCTTTTTTCTGAAGGTATTTCTGAGACTCTGCCGCTTGCCCAAGGCCACCCAGGCTGGCTCTTCTCCCAGGAGACATAGTGGAGGAATCAATATCCCAATCTCTGGCTCCACAGTCCGGTACCTAAACCACTGAGCTGTCCAGCCAGTTTTGAGTTTTGCAGTTATACTGTCTGTATATATTAAATTATCTGCCTGTCTCACGGAAGGTTATGCTGGTTAACCCATTGATGGTGCAACAGTGTAAAGACATGGCCACCCTCTATTAAGATTATTATTATTATATTACTCTTCTTATTATAATCAATGGACTGAGGACTTTGCATCTTGGACTGCTTATGGATTCATATCTGAATATCTGGTCATCTATCTTTGCAGTTTATGGCTAGAA